TTTTTTTTTTTTTTTTTTTCTTTTTCACTCTGCTGAGTACGGGTCTCTACTGTCAACAGCAGGGGGCACTGTTGTTCTGCCAGTGCAGACAGGACTAGGACGGAGTGGTGTGCTGTTGGTTTGCTGCCTGCTGCTCTGGAGGCCTTTGTGTGTCGTCTTCTGTGTGCTCCTCTGCTTTTTTTTTTTTTTTTTTTTTCTTTTAATATGCAGCTGTAATGTAGTTTGGCTGGATGCCCGAGCGTGTTGTTGTCATCGTTCGGTTCCCAGTTATTGATTCGAGCTCCCAGCAGAACAAAGAGCATGTCCAGACATCGTGCCGGCCTCTCCTTTTTGGTCAGGGAAACTCAGACTCCATACGCTCAGGCTCGGAGTAACAATGACATCTCTCCCTGCAGGCCCTTTGACATCTGTGCAAAAATATAACCTGGGCCTGGAAGAGGTGAGGATCTCCTGCTGAGCGTCTTGAGTTTCACCTTCAGGAGGCAGAAAGGGGAGGTGGGGGTCAAGGAGCCACTTTCTCCGTCTGCATCGATTCATTTTTCAATTCATTAGTTTGCTGTATGATCAGCCTGAGCTGCTCTCTGAAATGGCTGGCCATCAGGGAATACCTTTGGCTGAGGAATGAAGGAGACTACAGGAGGGGGGATAAAAAGGGTGGAGGTGGAGGCAGAGAATTGGAAAGCCTTGTTGTTTGTTTGTTTTTTTTTTTCCACAGGCTGCACTGTTTTCCTTACGACGGCCGTCTCACCGTGTGTGAATGTGCAGGATGGGGCACTGATAATAAGGCTATGTGCTGTTGTCTCGTCAGATTTATTGCCGTTCTTTCGCCCTTGTTGCTTCCACAGAGAGGGCGTGAAAAAGGAGGCAGACACAAAGGAGGTGAGTTGAAGGAGGAGGCTGGCAAAATGTAGAAACCGTCCAAGAAAATGACCAAATCTTTGGTGTCTCTTTGCTTTGTCAGATGTAAAAAACAAAAAAAAAAAACAGACTAAATCAATGATTGTCCTTGTGTGAGTAGAGCAGAGTGAACCTGACTTCACACCTCACCTCTTAAGATTCTGCTTCTTCCAGGTGAGAGCTTGAGATTTTGACTGACAAAAATTATGATTGCATGGCACGAAGGGTTTTTTTGTTTTTTGTTTTTTTTCCTCCCGGGCAGTCCAGGGTCAGGTGGGGTCATCAGAGACAGGTTTCACAGCCACCTCCTTGTGACGCCTGCTGCTCCAGCCTGGTCCCCCAGCGCTCTTTGAAGGCCTCCTATTCCTCCTCCTTCTCCTCTCAGGCCTTGGAGAAGGTGGTGGTGGAGGTCCCAGGCTGCCCGGGGCTGGCGCCGTGGTCGTCGTGCCAGCGGTCCACGCAGCGGCGGCGTGCGTTCATGAAGAAGTTGCTGACGGTGCTGAGCTCCAGGCCGAGCTGCTGGGAGATGGTGATCTGCATTTCCTTGGACGGGCGTTTGTTCTCCTTGAAGATGGCGATGAGCGTGCGGCGCTGCAGGTCCGTGAAGACTAGACGCTGCTTCTTGGGCGCTGTGTTGCGGTCCTTGTGTTGCTCCTGTTCTTTGCGCTTGCAGGCTTGGTTTGGGTGGCAGCGGTGGGAGGGATGGCCATGAGAGCGGGAAAGTAGAGGAGGGAAAGAAAAGAAACAAACAGGACAAAAAAACAAGGTAAATACACAGCAGTGACTGTTTTCACGACGACAAAACGAAAAGAGAATTGGTGGAGGTGAATAAAAGTAAGCGCCTTGCAAATGTATTTTTGGATTTAATTGGACTTTTTTCACATTTTGTCACATTTCCATCACAAACACCAGTGTTTACTGATATTTCATGGGAATTACCAACACAAAGGCATGTGTGATTTTAAAGTGGAGGAAAAATTACCTGTGGTTGTCTGTTGTTTTTTTTTTTTTGACAGTTAAATGAAAGGTGTGTTGAATATTAGTATCCAGCCAATTTTAGTCCAGTTGCATCTGTGATTTTTTTTTATTTATTTATTTCATTTTTTTTTAAAACATCATAATGTACAACAAAATTTTACAGATAGAAATGTTTTCCTCAGCTCGACATCAGTCAAACTGGATGGAGAGCGGGTGGGAATGTCATCTATTAGGTGTTCTCTGTTCGATTCAGGTCTTGACTTTGACTAGGTCATTCTCACACATGAATACGTTTCATTCAAATCATTCTGTTGTAGCTGTGGCTGCTTGTTTAGCGTAATTCTTCTGCTGAAGGACAAACCTCTGTCCTATACTCAAATCTTTTCTTTTTCCTTTTCCTATCAGCTCAGTTCTGCTCCTCTGTCCCTGCTGGAAAGAGGCATCCCTACAGCATGATGCTGCCACCACCATGTTTCATGGTGAGTATTGGCTTTCCCCCACAGCCGTTGTTTTGCAAGCTGGCCAAAAAGTTGCTTCCCCTATGCAGCGTGCGACAAACTTTAAATGGGACTTCTTCAGAGTTTCTTTTAACAATGATGTTATTTTTGCTTCTTTGTCATGGAGGCCATATTTATTTATATCTTAATAGTCGTGCTGTCAGCAGAGTCTCAAACCTGCGCTGTCGTTCTCCTCTAGAAATTTCAGAGGCCTCTTTGACTTTCTCTCTAATCCAGTCTGGCATTTTATGAGGTCAGCAATGCCTAAATAAGTTTGTTTCATGCTACATTTCATATTCAGGTAAAGGATAGAATGAGATGATTTAAGCTCGGAGGGTTTGTTTTAAAACATAAATGTGCTTTAATTTTCCTCACAGCTCCATCCCTAACTCCGTCTACAGTTTTTGTTGATTTTCATGATGCTGTTTGTTCACTAATTTTCTCTTTCCAAAGCTTTATTCATACTGAGAACAAACCGGCTCTAGGTGACGTTTCACTGTATCAAAGTAAAAGGGGGAATAAATGCAAATGCATGATGAATTTTTCAGATTTTGATTTGTAAGACGGGCACATTTTCCAGATGCTTCGCAAATATGTACAAGTTTGTGGTCGTGTGTCACATTAAATCCCAATAAAACAAGTTGAAGTCTCTGGTTGCCAGGAGACACGACGAGAAAAGGTGCAAGTGGCATAAATACTATTGCAAGAGACTGTATTAACTACTATTTAGACACATAAAAACTAGCTTATGCACCAGCAGCGATGCCACAGCTCTATCTCTATTGCCATATTAAAGTTGATTTAAAGCTAATCCATGCGTCCTGCCCAGTGGGAATATTCCTTCCATCCTGCGGAGTGCAGACAGGGAGCCAGCCTGCGGTGAGAGAAGGACTGGGTGGGGAGGGCAAGGCAGCGGGACTGGCTGTTGCCTGCTAGCTGGAGACACTGCTGTTTGATTCAATATTAATGCAGTTTGAGTCGCAATGGGGGACTGAGTGACTGATGCACAAAAGTAAGCATTTCGTGTCTCGGTGTCTATGTGTGTGCGTGTGTGTGTAAATGAGAGACAGAGGAGACGGGGAAAGAATAGAGACAAGAAAATAAAAGATGAGCGAGTGAGACAAAGTGTGTGTATTCGTGTGTGTGCGTGTGTCTGTGTGTGCGTGTGTGAGTGTGTAAGAACCAAAGAGGAGAGTCGAGAAGGGGAAGGAGGGGCGTTCATGTGAAGGAGAAAGCAAGATATTGACCGACTTGCTGTAGGAATTGGAGGGGGGGGGGGGTTTCTGTAGGGACTGAGGTCAGATCCCCCCCAGCAGGTCTACAGTCTGTTACTTCAAACAGAGCCCACTGGAGCCCACTCTATAGAGCTCTGAGAGGGTATTTATAAACCCTCCAATCCTCCCCCCCCCACACCCACCCCATCTCCTCTCTTTCCCAAAACAAACACTTGAGAGGTGCTTGCACTGGCTGCTATGAGCCCCCTTCCCGTACACAGAGCAATTTTCAAAAGAAAAACTGTGCGCTCCTGCATTTGGGAGGGGGTCCGACGGGGTGAAGGGGATGTGTGTAGCGAACACAGAAATTAATAGTTAATAGAGTACTGTATGTGGGTAAGTGTGTTGTAACTCGATGTACTTGAAGGAGACGTGTGGAAAGCTAGGAATGGTGTAGGAGGATGTGTGTGTGTGTGTGTGGGGGGGGGGGGGGAGGGCAAAGGCTTAACCTTCGC